TAGTTCTCGTTGGAGACTTTAAAACACCAGCACCTAGCCCGGGATCTGAAGTAAGACATGGGCACAAATCTTTCGAACACAAACTTTGAAATTCTTTTATGGCAGCAGGACTGACAGAGAAGGTTGGGGAAAACACTAGATGGGGATCAGATGGAAAGGGATCACCACTCGGCTGCGTTCTAACGGACAATGATCTTTTGGTGGATGATATCTGTGTTAAACCCCCCCCCCCAGGTAAAAGCGGCCACGCATTGCTGAGATTCTCTCCGATAACCAAGGTGACACTAACATATATATATTTCATACGACAAGGGTTACGTGAATACAAACCAGTTTACAGACTTGATCATTTTGGTAGTGAGAAATGACCATTATGTACAATGTTAAGCTATACATTAGTACCGTTATTTATGGCATATAAGAGGCGTGTTGAAGCAGGCTCAGTTAGAATTTAAAGGTTATTCGGTTGTCGTTTGAATCTTCCAATATTCTTGAAGGTGAGGCCTCATCATAGTCATGACCTTGAGGTGTGCGCGCTCGTCATAAGGTTTTGATGGCAATATTTCCCACTGACTAATGCGATTTGTAGGATTCCATTTGAATGCAGGGCTGGTTAGGTAAACCTGAAAGGTGAATAACGAAAGCGAGCAGCAGGCAAAATTCGAAACAGGAGCACAAAAATACGCAGGAGTAAATCAATCACCATACATCTGGGTGAGTTCTTTGTACTGGCTTTAAGACTTACTTCGAGAAGTATCCAGAACCAACTGTTTAGAGGTAAGCCTAGGTGGAAGAAGATGAAGATGCGCACGACAGTAGTGAAAATTAGTCTGAAGCCGAAGATATCACCACGAAATAGAGAGATTAGAGGATTTTGGACCAGGTATTCACTCGTTATATACCTATGTACAAGCGTTTGATGAAGTTATAAACATCTGAGTGAAATTCATGGTTTTTTCTAAGATGGTAACCACCCTTTATCTGGTCACGGGAGGATGATCATGGTGTTGCCTGTTGAGTATTACCATATCGGGGCTACCGAAACAATTTGTTGGCGCAGAGCACTTACATATAAGTACTGATAACAAAGGGCGGAAAGTAAAGCGTTGCATGCCATGAAAATGCACCGGTAGACAGTTCTTTTATCTCTTCGGAGTAGAGAGATCAATTATTTAAAGGGACGAATTTTAGGAAATGGGTGTTAAATCATGAGATCAGTTAGGTTATGGAGAAATGTAGGTTACATTAGAGTCGCTACTGAGTTCACTGCTGCGTATCCTATCTCACTCCGCTTCCTGATCACTCTTGGTCATCTTTTTTTAAAGAAATTAGATGTTAACCTAACTATTGCGTTCAGTTTTCGGCATTGTATACTTTTGTCATTGCTGTTAGTCTCCCTTGAGTCTAGGTACAAGTAGCACCATTGTACATGGTATTACCGTGTGTGGTTTGGCCGTCAACGAATTGATGAGATTCGTTAGATAGGAGGAGTTCACCAAGTAATCGCTGAAACTGGCCGAGAGAACGACATGCTCGTTTGGGAGCGGGAAGTTTGTTCCACAGCACACTGTACCGCGTTATGAAAAACCTACATGGAAGTTTTGAGCGATACTTATTTATTGGGATGATGTACTCGCTATTACGCAGTTTTTATGCCTGTGCTGATTTAAAAGTGATAGCACATTTTGTTTTGGAGTTTCTAAATAAAAGGCGAAAAAGAAGTGTTAGGTTGAGCTTCAGGTGTCTCAGCCAGAGTGATTCTAGTTCTAGTTTTTCATCTTACTTCGTAAGGAAGTCCTTCGTTATGTATTAGTAGGCACCGAGTAAAGTTTCGTTGAATGTTCTCTACTCGAATTCTATCCGATACTTTCATGTAGCCATGGATAACCGTACGGTATTCTATATTGGGAGAACCATAACCTTGTACAGTATAAGTTTTGCCTCCGGTGTATGCTTCTGTGTAGAAGACCAATGAATCTTTTGCCCTTGGAAACTACCGGGGGTGATTCCGAGGTCTTTCACGGGGATTGATAACTTGTATAGCACACCTATCCGCTGGTTGCCGTATGCAGTTTGGTCATAGCCAGGTTCATATTCCCCAAGATTTTCTTTAGGAAATCTGTTGTAAGTTTGTCCTTGCGTGGCGTGTGACCCACGTTTTGCGGCGTATGGGTGAGGCGGCAAGCATAGTCTGCGACTACCATTTAGCTCCCTGTCCGATAACTGTGATTGTTGAACGGTCCGGCCGTGATGTATGTCTGCTAGTGACCGCGGAAGTGTTAAGAAGTGTGGATCGCCTGGAAAGTAGTTATTTTACTTGGTCATAGGTACCAGCAGTTGAGCCAGAAGCGCTCCGTTGTTACCGAAAAGCGGACTACCATCCCATGAACAACGAATTCCTGGAGGCTGCACTGTCACGAGGATGGCACTTACTATCCATAGACGAACACTGGATACGTATTAAAGATATCGTCTGGAAAGCTATCGATGAAAACGTTCCAGAATTAACTAGACGCCACCTCTCAGGCGGTCTTGGGTAGCTCGCGCAACTTAAAAGCAAATACAGAGGAAAAAGAAAGCATGATATCGGTGGCGTACATCACGCGACGAGTAAGACCTTCATGGCTACAAGACGTTACGCAGCTTGCTTAATACAAGAATTCGTAATAACAGATATACATACCAGGGCAAACGGGCTAAACTGTTAAGTTACAGTCCGAGAAGTCTGCATCGGTTTGTGCCACAGTGCAGGTCAACGAATAAGGGTTTAAGCCTGATTACAGGGCTGGCCAGGGAACCTTTGAACAGCAGTGAGATAGCAGAACTGTTGAGCGGCTAAACCCAGTAATGCATCCACTATCAACATCTAGTAAGGTAACGAAGTCTCAGGGCTGCGACATATGGCTGACGAGCGTGAAGATTTCGTCAAACCAAGTGTTTGCAAAACTTTCAGCACTAAGAATAGAAAAATCCCCGGGACTGTGATGACATGGAACCGGTGGTCCCACTTAACTGTGCCGAAGTGCTAAGCATACCCATAAGCAATCTGTTCACGCACCCGTCGGAGGTATGTCAACTCCCCAAAGAACGGAACCGCGCCATCCTTTCACCGATCTTCAAAGAGGAAGACCAAACAACCCGTGCAACTGCAGACCAATAACGTCACTCCCCGTAATTTCCAAGGTAGTGGAAACCCTGGTTGCAGATGTTGTTTGGGACCGCCTGACCAGCAACGACACCGTTCATCCTATCCAGCATGGCTTCAGATCCGGGAGGTCATGTGCCACAAACTTGATGACCGCTTGGAATGACTGAATCACTAGATGGGACGACAAAAATCCAGTCCACATTATCTCCGTGGACTTGACCGAAGCTTTCGATGGCGTCCCACACAGCACATGCTAGCCAAACTTGCGAAAGTGGGTATCACTGAATCGCTCTTGGCATGGTTTACAGCATACCTAGAGGACAGAGAATTCTGCACTAAAGTAAATGGAATTCGATCAACCTGGGGGAATGCAAGAACAGGAGTTTCTCAAGGAGCGATGCTTGGGTCACTTTTATTTTTGCTATTCATAAACGACCTACCCATTAAAATCTTATCTATCCTCTCTTTCGCCGACGACATCAAAATATGGGGTACGTTGGGTGGCGGAAAGGATCCAAGGACGCTCCAAAACGGCCTGTTAGAGCTGGAGTCCTCATCAGCCCCATACCGGTTAAGATTTAACCTGGATAAATGCAAGGTGATATGCCTTCTTGCACCAGAAGCAATGAAATTAGGCTGCACCCTCAGCAAGTGTGCAATCACCAACGTATCCACATAGAAGGACCAAGGCTAAACTTCTCTGATACACTGGATACTACTGGCGTTTAAGGAAATGGAAGCAAAGGCGAAAGCCATTATCCACTTTCTTAGAAGGCATCTTGGATTGTCAACCCCAGGATTATTCCTCATGATATCTAAGACCTATGTCAGACCATACCCAGAGGTGCTGAACACAATAGTCGCTCCCCGTTAGTAAATGGAGACACAAGTACTCTTGAGAAGGTGCAGAGAAACGCAACAAAGTCGGGTGTCAGGCCAACGGGCAAAACATATGCGCAATGCCTCAGACAACTCAACTTGTTCAGACTAAGCTATCGAAGAAAATGAGGCAACCTGATAACAGCCTACAAGATTATTCACCAGATGGACCGCCCAAACACGACAACTTTATCAGTCCGAAACCGACAGTCCCGTTGGAACCCCGCTCGCATGGCTCAGCATTTGGCAGAGACAAAAGTGATGTATAACTTCTTTTCTGACAGAGTTTGTGCTTTATGGAAAGCTCTGCCGAAGGGAGTGGCTACAGCTGAATCAGTCAACTTCAAACGACTACTGGATGAGTATGTGGGCGCAAATGGGTTACCACGAACATTTGTGAGTAGCACTTGATGATACACCCCTCCACTCTTGCATTCACTAACCCTAGTATTTGCAACAGGATGCATCAATCCTCCATATAATTACCAGTTACATTTATCTTTTCAAAAGTACTTTTCACTCCTCTTTTTTTAATTCCCCACTCACCCTGTTTCTATCACTTTTTAAGTAACGCTTAATGCTTACCTACAGGTGCCTACAACAGCAGGACTTGCAGAAGGTTGATTGATCTTATCAGCAGCTCCGTCCCCCACCCCCCGGAAACAAACCAAGCTACAATTTCCAAATGAAATACCTTTAACTAGACAATCACTACCTCCAAAGCTAGTAGGAGGACGCAAGGACTTCTGGGACCGTTGAAGCAGTACATCCGGACAAAAAGAACGGAGCCTCAAGACCTTGAAGCGAGAGCTCAAAACTACAAGTTTTCCTCTATAGCACTACTGATGTTGGATGTTGAATGGGATAACAGTCCAGTGACCTTGCAGGCTAACCCCTTTTGAAAATGTAAGGACTACCAGAAGTTAGTGTTCATGTCAGCAGTTCCAAATCGGCTTGACCGGTATTATCATTCATGGTGAGTTTTCCTGCGACATTTGATAGTTTTCTAGGTATGTTTTTAGTCTGTCTCCTCTCATGGCTGTCTTAGTTTTTGAAGAACAACTAAACTAGCTGTTTTCTAGGTTCATACATCGTATGTACGACGTAAGTATACGTACGATCGTCGGTTACAGTATAACAACTAGGCGTGACTGTGTGGTAAAGTACAGTTCAAAAAAAGACGGATACCAACAAAAATAAAAACCAGAAGTGGCCGAGAAGAACGATAATGTAGTAGGCGTTTAAAAGCCTATCCAATTGGATAGGATGATAGTTAAACACCAAATGGCGACTACCGGTCTTAAAAACTGGATTGACTATGGCATCTTACAAGTCTCTAGAGAAGCAAGTCTGAGTTAGGGACATATTGAAAAGATCCATGACTGGCTGAACAATGATGTCTTCTAACGAGGATAGAAGTCTGGGATGTAACTCGTCGGAACCTGGGGATTTTCTAGGTTTAAGGTTAATGAGCAACTGTAAAACTCTTTCCTTTGTTGTGAACAAAGTATCTATTAGTGGAACAGTGCTGATACCACTATTTAGCACTCCATTATCACATCCAACAAGCAGAATGACCTCATTCTCCATCACACTGACGGTCAACCATACTTTTTCACACTACTTCCAATCGAGCTAAATAAAAGGAGAATAAAAATTGACTGTTAATTCGACTTTTGCAGCTAATATTATAGCATAAATGAATCAAAAGCAGGTTGAGAACGTTCAACTCCACAGGTAACGAAACAGCGGATTTAGGTTACTTGTAAACAACAAAGTATATAAATATGATATTTAAAGACTAATCCGCGGGAAGATTTAACTTAAATAATGGAGGGTTGAAACAATAATAATGGTGGTGATAGTTAAAATGTTGCTAGCTGGTGACGTAAAGGTCGAATGCTATCAAAAATAGGTTGCGTAAGATTTTCAAATCGTTCACAAAGTGCATATAGATTAAAAAGGGGCGAAAACGTTTAGTAACCAATCAAAGGATTAGGTAATATAAGTGAGACAAGTTAATTGGGGTAAATTGGAAATGCTTTGTTAAAAGTTGCGATTATTAGGAAGATCAAATGAAATAACACCGGAGACAATAAAATATAAAAAATAAAGTGAGAATGACGATATAAGGGTACGAAGACTAATCTGGATAGCCAAGGCCTCTGCTGCTTTTAGAAGCTGAACAAGGGGGAAACGTGAGGTGCTTGGGCAAATTCCATAGACAACCTTGAAATCCTTGTTTGGGTCGGTTGGATGGTTGGAATCGATTAAATGCTCAAGGATAGAACTTCTGGTGCATTTCCTTTGGCCCTTATAAAACCAGGCCGGAATATGTCCTTGTATACGTGTTGACAGTAATCTGTGACTACGGCCCCACAGGAGCAGGTGAACTGGTAGATACACATGGGTGTGGCCTGTCGAGGGATATTGTCTTTTATACAAACGATTTGAAAATCTTACGCAACCCATTTTTGTTATCATCCTACCTTTACGTCATCAACTAGCAACATTATAATTATCACTGCCATTATTATTGTTTCAACCCCCCATTAAGTTAAATCTTCCTCACGGATTACAGTCTTCAAATATATATATATCAAATTAATAGAACTTTCTTACTGTTCCCAATAGTTATTTGATATGGAGTCAAGGACTTGTTGCATAATGGGTTTCGAATTTCATTCGCTTTAAATTTTTGGTGAATAAAGTAGGTTAGTTATTTTATGGCACCCGAGTGAACTAGGTCAACTAGGTCACTTGAATCTTTTAACTTTACTGCTTCTTTGTTTAGGCTGATGGGTCTTATAAGTGCGTCAAACTTATCAGGAAAAATTATCAAGTTTTTCAGCTGTTACCTAGTTATAGAAAAGGGCATTTAGTAAAAGATGATTTGTGGATTCGAGATGGAGTAATTGTTAATGAGTTGACCATATTCTTCTCAGTATAGACAACACTTGATATTTTTGTTGATTCGCATAGAAGCATAGTTTCTCCTGGTCTCATCGATTTGCAGGTTAGTGGTGCGTACAGATTTGATTTTTCGAATCCTGATGAAACGTGCTTCGAAGTTGCCAAGATGCTTCCGCAAACAGGAATTACAGCTTATTGTCCAACCATTATAACGTCACAACAGGATTTCTACAAGAGGCTTGTCTCCGCTTTTGCGAATTATCAAAGTAGAACAAACTATCCAAAAATGTTGGGAGTACACCTTGAAGGTCCGTTCATCAGTAGAAACTGTGCTAGGAGGCATCCAATATCCTATATAAAAGAGTTCAGAAATGATCCTGCAAGGTAACTTTCAAACATAACACTTTATTCTGCTAGGCGATTTCAGAGGCCTATTGTCCCAGCCTTAACAGTATAAAGATAATTACAATTGCTTCAGGAATTACAGGTGCTTCATTCGCTACAACCTATTTGGTTCCACAAGGTATCATTGTATCAGTTGATCATACCAGCTCTGACTGCGAGTCAGCAGTCTTTTCTTTCTTCAGAAGCAACCTTTGTTACTCGTCTTTCTAATGGCATGTCATCTTTCCACCATCGTAAAGCTCATATATTTGGTCGACTCGCCAATTCTAAGACACCGCTCTACACTGGTCTTAACGCTGACTTGATCTATCCACATCCAGCTGCTCTTCATTTAGCAGAAACATTTTCTCCCAGTCAATAACTCTTGTCATAAATTGTATTACTGCATTCGGACCTCATGATAGCTTATACACATTTATTTTACAAAATATTCAAGCTGACGGTGGGAAGTAAGTTTCTTTTTTTGAATGTTTTTAGTGTTAGTTGGAAACACCTCCTAAAATACCTTAGATTTTTTCAACGGTTTTCTTTGTTAACTTAGGAAATTTCAGCCATCACATTTAATTGCCTCGATTTCATATGATTTTCATTTTTCATCAATTTGTATAACACTGTACATGCCAGGCAACAACTGCTACCCTAGCATAGTGGTCAAGCTTACCTATCTCACTGACTTATCTGAGATATGGTGGTTGAGATAGGAGTTTTCTGAGATTGTGCCACACCAAGAACATTGTAGGATGACCAAAATAAAGGCATAAATTATCACCTACTGAATGAGGTTTCGAGTGCAATTTCTTTTCCACCATCATATCAAAGCAATCATCCAACTTTCAAACATCTTTTTCATAGTTGAACAGCAATAATTTGTGCTCTAAATAGCATCCAGTTAATAATGCAGTGTGAGTATGTGCTATATCGAACAGATTAATCTAGTGTGGAATTATATTCTACCAGTGTCCATGTTTTACTCCTATGATGATTATAGTAATAATAATACCTTCATTCTGAAACATATTTCGGGAATGCTGTCCAGAATTTTTAGCAGATCATATAGCATCAATTGGACGGATACAGTGTATATGCATACATAATAAAATGGAATAAGTATAAATTACATATAAAGGGTAAAAATATTTACTCCATCTACAACTTTCTTGAAGTGAAGAGGATGCTGGTCATGTGATAAAATAACTCCTCCCAGATGTTTACATGAGTTAAGATGTTTGTCCGCAACAGTTTTGGTGAGAAGGTTTAGAAGTACACCTCTAGTTCTGCTGACAATTTCCAAAGTTCTATGCTATATAGCATAGTCTTTTTTCAGCAAGCTGGGAAAGAATAAAGGGAAACAATGGAGGAGAATAGGCAGGATGCATGGGTTTATAAAACACAAGAGAAGAGCCGGAGTTATACTAAATACTCTCAGCTTCCTAATGTAGAAAGTTAGGTGGAAACCTCTTTTGGAAATGAGTAAGATATGGGGGGATCAAGAAAGGTCCGAAGAATAACACATGCCGAGACAAATCATACTTGTAACATTCTCTAATACACAAGCATCAGTACAGTAAGAATCATGAGAACTAAGCAGTTTACATAGTTTGCGTTCTCGTCTAAAAGTAAAGTTTACAGCCTGACATTTTGAAGAATTAAACACAAGACTATCCACGTGGGATCATCATCTAACAGTGGATAGGAAACCGTTCAGTTAGGAACAATCTGTTAAAGAGAAGACAGGCACAGGAATTATCAGGTCATCAGCAAAATTGATAACGTTGATGCTAGCTGAAGGAGTGTTACACAGAAAGAAAAAAGAATGGCTCCTTAGGGAACACGTCAAAGTAAGCACTGAGGTGGAGCGCTTCCCTCTGTGAACAGTATATTGTTTCCTTTCAGAGAAACAGGAATGCAGCCGGCTGATGATCCAGGATTCAGTATTTGTCCCAGTTAGCTTGTCCAGCGAAAGAGGTCTTGAAACAGAATCAAATGCTGAAGTATTGTGTAAAAAGTCACATCTGGCATACTTGGCATTTATATCAAGATTATTAGCAATAATGTGATGACAGTGGTGGCATCTAGAGTGCTTCTTTTGCTTTTGTATGCGAATTGATTACGATCTCCAAAAATTTTTAATGAGGGTTCAAGCATAAGCGTTATTAGCTTTTCAATTTTTCTCAGGAACGGAGAAGTAACTGCAATTTGACGGAATTTCAGACACGCCTGGAGTCACCGACTTAGGTATAGGGACTATCTTTATACCTTTCCAAGCAGCTGGTATGACGTTTTCTGTAAAAGACGTATTAAATATATTAGTTAGTGGATGGCATAATATACCAGCACACTTCGTGAATATGAAACTTGACATTCCATTCGGACCTAAACTATGTGAAGGGTTCAGGGACTCGAGACGTTTGAAAACACCCTTCTCGGTGAATTTTGGACAACCTTCTTCATTGGAAATAGGTGGAGAGTAGGATGGGACAGTTGGGTTGGCGTACGAACGATTTGTTTAGAGCATAAGCATCAATGCATGCTTCTTTATTAGGGTACTTACTACCAGTGAGGTCTTTAAAAAGTTTCCACATGCTGGAAGTCTTTGCATGACAAAAGCTTCTGGCTGTACGGTAGACTCAAACGTTTAGTTTTCAACTTAATTAAGTTTTTAAACCGACAAGCACCAGCGTTGTCACTTACTTTGTATAACATTTCCTTTTCTTTTCTTAGTCTCTAAAGTTGAGTAAGAGTTGAGATGTAAGATCGAAGCGTTTCAAAAGTGATCTACATCGATTCTACATTAGACAATACAGTGAAATGGCTGAACATGTTTCTCAGATTCACTTATTTGGAAAGTCGAATTAGCCTTGATGAGTTCTTGTCCATGGATCCCACTTGTGTCTCTGATAGAATGGCTTATTGAGGACCGCACGTATTGAGCAGTAGTCCTCTGTGTCATGATAAATAATGGTGGAAAAAGGTTATTAGGTGTGGTGAGTTCGTGAAAGCTGCATGCGCTTAGCAGTAGTTGTCTCCGTAACATGGTCACGTATGTCGGGGCGTGTCAGTAGTATCAGTACTAGGTGCGCACCTCCATGTGACGGATTCAAATCTATTAATGATGTGAATCACGATCGACCCGATGACAGATTTGTCATATGTATGTAGACATTGCCTAAATATTTATGGACATTTTATGCTGATAATTTAATCCCTGCTGCAAAGCAGTCAAGCTGTCAACAAGAGCTAACAAATACCTTCAGGACTTTCTCCCCCTTATCTCCTTTGCCCATTAATAGTTACTTTTATTCTTAATCATTTTAGGGCTTACTTTGCTGGTACAAAATGTTTAGCTGGAGATACTACATTGCTACTAACATGTGTCAGAAGTTTTTGGCTAGAAGTCACCTGTGACAAGATTGGTCCTGAACCTAGTGTCCCTAAAGAGTGGGTCGGACTTGGATAATTCACTGGCAGTGGCTAGCACCAGCATATGTTCTTCGTCTGCATCGCTCAAATTTGTCTACCTTCAAATCCTTACCAATTTCGGAATTAACTTTGACAATGGGAACTTCAACTTCAGGCTCCTCTGCAGACAGGCTTAAAACCAGAACTTAAGTTGTTGAATACATAGATCAACAGGAGGCCTGTTTACTTCGATTCGGAATACCAAAACTTTATTAGTATTAGGTTCTCTGTTTGAGTCTCCTGAACATGGATTCGCCGGATTCTTAAAATCACGATTTCGAATCGTAACCTATTGATGCTGTTTTGTTTACTTTTGTTTTGATTTATTGTCGTATATACGATATTACTGCTACATTTTTAGATAATTTCCTGGTCCCAAAGATATCTTTAGAGAATTTAGACTAACTTAGAATAATCACAAGCACTATTAAATGTTATCAGATATGCTTGTAAAACTATGCCTCCACAGGATCAACTTAAGACTGGTTTTCAGAAGCACTCATAAGCTTTCAACACATATTCTCTGGAAAATCTTGTATGCACCTGTTGGGTTATACGTTTAGTTATCGCATTACTAACTTGCTAGGATTCTTTCAGATACACTACAAATCTGATGCCTATTACTCGCAGTTGCGTTAGCTAATAAAGCCCTAAGTTGTATATGGAAGGAGTAATAAAGCCTATTGAATGAGACGAATTCATTGCAAAGGTGAAGCATACAATTTATTTTTAAAATGTGCTTGTGAAGAGATAAGAATGGAGGGTTCAAACCACAATATCATCAGATGCATTGATCAAAAATTGAACTGATATTGAGCAAATTTGATCCTCATTTCACTTCTTTACATAATCTTTAGCTTTCAGTTGTGTATTTTGACATTGCAGTTTAAGCAATGCAATAAATTGAATAAATGCAAAAATTTGTTCTCTTGCTTCATTTTTTTTTGTGCACAGGAGCATCCTTTCTTAAATACACCTATTCAGTAATAAAATATAGGGCTAGAAATAAGACTCTGTAGATAAAGTTCATTGTTCTTTATGGCGAAAATATGCTGTAGTATATTTATACAAACTGATACAACATAAAATAAGCGTCTCCAATGTGATTGGGTGTTTGCGCTTGCCAGTGAACAATGAATCGATTTATATCCACGTATTTCTGCCCCTTAATGAAGACAGAGTGACTATGGTTAGAAGTTTATGTTTGAGAACGGACTAGCTAAACAGTTGCCGTAGCATGACAACGTAAGTTATCAATTAAAAGCCTGATAGACAGTCCCTGCCGTGATCTGTTGACCGAGCTCTTATATCACAATGAACCGTGAACGAGGTCTTATCATGAAAAAGTCTCGGTTAGTGATATGAAAAATTACTACCGCGATAGTGTAAATGGTTTATTCTACAGTGAATTCGTACTGATGACTGAATGGAAGTGAAATGAAAGTGATTTCTTTGTGTTACGCAATAAGCGCCATCTGTGCTTTCGTCATCTCTGGATAAGAAGGGAGATCAAAAGAAAAGATATCTCCTAATGACTAGACTCCACTTTCTATTGCTGACAATAGGGTTCTCAAACCACGGATACAACTGTACAAACTTCAACACCTAAAAAGTTAATGAACAACCGTAAGCAAACATCTGGGCCGTTTGTGTAAATCCGATCCGACTTTTCTTATATGTACTTGTTCACATCATTTTCTCATTCCTCCTTTCTTTTGCTATTTTCTGCTTGTTTTGACCGATTTTTCTTTCCTACTTCGTCTTTTATCTTATTGCCCTATTACTTGGTGTGCTGATGAGCTTTGGCAACTTGAACCGTTACGCAGTAATGTTGATTTTCATGGCCTCAGAAAGATATCAGTATACAGTATAGGTAGCCACCCGAACACTTCCAGTAGTACAAAAAGCCTCCTGTTACTATGATTATGCCATCTAAACTCCCCAACTTTTTAACCCGATGGTTTCTACCAGCTCAACAAAACAGTGTTCTTTGCCTCTAAAAATTGTGCTGCTATTTTTATATGCAAGCTTTTAGCATCTTGAATCGATGTCAAATCAGGCAACAAGTCTCACTGGCCAAAAGGTCGGTATTTAAGGAGATACTGCACCCAAGTATAGTTATTCGCTTGACTTTATTTAACAGATATGATGGGTCTGCAAAATCAAGCCTGCGACTGTTGAGAAATTCGATGACTACATCCCGTGAACTAGATGTAGAGATAGCGCCAACTTTGGAAGTTAAAAACGTACTTATGGGCTAGATCTCAGTCAACAATAATCTGTGCGCCGTCCTGCAGCATGGATTTCTTGAGATTAGTAACAGCTATGACAATCACCAGTGGTTGTTAGTTGTTTTTGCTGGATAATATCAGTTGATGCTATTGCTTATTCCCCGTTGTTGCTTAAACCGAATTGATCGACCACGTTTGGCATATGGCCTGCTGCATGAATGCCTCGATATTGACAGTAATTTCAATTTAGTAGTAATTATGGGTCCCACTGCTAGCCATTATCTATCATAACTATGATACTAATCTCCGATCTACCCCCTTTCACAACCTGATTCGGACCAATATTAACATCACATCTGCTTTCCCAGTCATCCACTTCGTTTCTGTACCACTGTTCTGACTTACCTAACAACCAGTGTAAATATAGCCGACAGCTAGTTGCTAAGCGTATGTGGCATTCAGATGTTATGGTTCATAGGTCTGATGAGTCCTGAATATCTGGTGCATCCCAGTAGCTACAAAACGCAGCTGCGTATTGTAAGCTTCCAATCAGCACGTTTTAACAGTCACTGGTCAAATCCAGTGAATCTTCTTGGTGGGAGCACTAAGTATGAGGAGGAGACGTCAGGTAAGCAGAATAGACTGAGTAAACAAGCCTTCCCTACTAGTTGGGACCGCTGTTACCTTCATTTTGTATTTTCACTAGCTACCTACCTCGGATGCTACTAAAAGAAGAGACCAAGACCACTGTGGAAAACAAGTGGCAAGCCTTGAGATCTGATCATCCAGTAGGATTTATACCTGCAAATACAACTTTTACACCGTCGCCCGAATATAACTTCTTATATAACTCTGATAAGTACTGCTTGTAGTTGGTTTTGATTTCTCAAACCTGTGGATTACTCTTTCAATGGAAGATATGTTAAGTGTCGGTAATCACTTCTATTTGACTATCCCTACTTCTCAGTATTTTTACAGTCCACAACCCATTTGTTTACAGGCGTGAACAACATAGTTAGTCACGGTTACCAATCTCATCTCTTCAGCCTAAAATATGAGCAGTTATAGTTCCTTGTTGTTAAATAACTAATCTCCGACCAGCAGGCCAAAAGTTCAAACCCCGCCCCAACTACCAATGTTTGAGGAAACGCGTAATATCACCTAAACTTAGCAGGTGTGGATCATTGTCTAGTGCACAAACCTTCACATTTTGGTTGAGTTACACTAAATACAAACGATAGTTACCTATGAACGGTAGGACATGAAACAATAGTAAGTCAATGAAACAAAATAACGTGACAGGATATCTCAGAGGAATGTTTCTAATAGGACAGATACAATCTAACAATATATATTTAGTTTCTGCATCTCCACACTCGCATCTCTTCTCGATAGACAACTCAGCGTTGATTCTCCCAGTATTCGAAATGTCACTTGAGTGGGTTGGAACCACGAGATGTTGAAGTTGAGAATTATATTCATATTAGGTAACATCACCTTGCGATGCTATTATGCTGCATTGATAATTTCTAAAAATTGTTGCATCATTCTACGGACACGTTAACCTTTTGATAAGCCATGTGGTACCTCCCTGGTCTTCGTTTACGATGTGACTGAGGCATACAGCTGGATACCTCAAATACTATGAAATCAGTTAGAGAGAAGATTCGATTTTCTGTGAATTTATAAGCAGTTCTATGTCTATTCACCATCAGAACTACCGTTTGATGAACTTAGCAAATTCGTTTCACATTTCGCTGTTTTCTCCAGATGGAGGCTTTAATTAATGTGCATTTGTGCCAGACACTTCAACTTCAGAAAACTTGCTACTCTTTGTAGGTCGCTTAGCAAGTGACTGATGACGATAGATGGCTACATGTTGAGCATGAGAAGAGCCACTGATCTATCATATCTCTTACTCTTAGCACAATATACTCACACTAAGCTGTACTTCCCTGGGTGTGGTTACCCGAAAACAAACACCATTTTTATAGGTACTTTGTTGTTATTTTTGTGATCAAGTCTTGGGTTCATCATCCTGTGAGTTAACCCTGTCCTATGTTGATATTGATTGATTGATTGAGGAATGAACCTCAAATAACAAGATCGCACTGATGACAACAACTTGTACAGAGAGTAGATTTAGATGCAAGTTCACACCTCAACATATATTGAACTAACTTTCAGTTTCAAGTTTAGTGCTACGTGTTCAATAAATCATAATCTGTAGGTCAGCAAAAATGTACTTCCCTCACAATAATTTAAATTGACTGAACTACACACGTGATTCTCATTTGTCAAATTTTTGAACTTCAATCCGTTACTCATACTGTAGCAGCTGCTGGTGATATCATTCCTCGCGGAATGTGGATTATTGCTACCTGCATAAACCCATGTGTTATTGCTTAGTTACAATTCATTTTCATGACTACATACTACAGCCAGCACATACAACAAGGCAATGCATGGTTCACAAGTTCTACTGGTCAGGGAAATCAACAAACAAACGTCTATGCCGACTACTTGTGTGTTCATACATATTCAAAATGCACGTGCAATTAGTACTGTATGTAGGACTTTCGGAATCAAACATCACAAGTGTGTTAGGATCTGAGATGTGTACAGAACAGGTGCATGGAGGATGCGCCTTCCAGAAATTTCCGAAGCGAATATTGACTGAAAGCTCATTGCTACTAAAACAAAAACCCTATGTATCCAGACTATTTTCGTAACTTCGAACAAAAAGTGATTCTACACTGTTCCGTAT